CCTGTGGCTTGGCCAGACCCAGCACTCTGTGTGCAGGGGACTGGAGCGACAAAGCTGAGGCGCAGAGATGTCCGTACTGAAAGTCTTGGTTCAACCTGCAGCAGATAAGGGCTAGTTCAGAGGTCTAATTCCCTTGCATCCATTCCATCCTTGCATTCAGACTTTGGTTTGGGCCCACACTACACAAAAGGGAAGAAACAAATTCTGTGCTCAAGGACAGAAGTGAGCAGAGGTGGCAACCCCAGCAGTTGATACACCACACATACCATGCTGAACTCCCCCTTCCCCAAACAGCCTTGCCCAATCTGATATTCAGTATAATTTACACAAAAGTGGCACTGCATCAGCTGCTAGAAAAGAGGGAATAAAAGCAGCAGAGAGCTGAGCCTTGCCCTGTAGACCTCAGGACAGAAGAGCAGCAACTCTCAGCACCAACTCATCCCTCGGGTCTCTTGCTGCCCAGTGGCATTCCAATCCCAGAGTCAGACTCCTGAGGGATGTGTGTACCCAGGAGAGGTGCTGATGAAAGCTGGACACTGCATGGGGAAACACCCTGCCAACCAGTAGGAAATGCTGAGGAAAGGGCTGTTACATAAAACTCTGCATCCCCAGGGCACTTGCAAGTACCAAAGGGAAGTGCCCAAGGGAGCTGAATGGTGCCATTAGGACCTGGCATTTGGTTTCTGCCGTGGTAGGGTATGCGGGGAGCACTCCTGGGCCCCAGCCCTCACCTCTGAGGAACATTTACTTATTTTATGCCAGACATAGCAGTTGGGGGGGGAACACAAAAATGTTAGTCCCCTTGTTGAACCTCCAGGTCTTTGCAATATTCTGCTTCTGGAGGCGTTCAAATCCTTTCTCACCAAGGATGAATGCATCTTCCACAGTGCAACCCAATTCCCTGTTCCCTGGGGTAAAGAACAGCAGCTCTCGCACGCCTCTGCAGCCTCGCTTTGCTGTCAGGCAGGCTCAGCTGCTATCTTAGCTATTTTGAATGTCCCTTGAGTTCAGGCACTGCTGCAGAGCAGGGGCTCTCACACCACAGTATCTATCTCCACAATACTGAGGGGAAAGGGAATCCCCTCATCCTGCCTTCTGTCAGCTCGCATCCAGCACCTCCTCCCCTCGAAAACAAGCCCAGCCTCCCCGGCCAGCTCAGAACATTTGGGCCAAATACATCACAAATTCAAGTCAGAGATAACACAACGGGGGACAAAACCCAAACTAAAGCAATGAACAAGAGATTGCCTCTCCATGAGATTCTGCCTGTGATTTCTACCTCGGATGCTCCATCGCAGTGACTAAGCCCACCAAAGCTGCATTGCAGAAGCCTTTGAGCACAGGGATTAATTAAGGCACATCCCCTGGTTCCACAGCCAGCGCTTTCTGTGCCCAGGGCATCCTCAGTGCAGCACTCTGGGGCTGTCCATGCTGTGCAAGCCCTGGAGAGAACTGCAGAGCAGCTGGAGGAAGAGGACGCTTTTTCTGGGGCTGCTTTGCGGCTCCCAAAGTTGTTGGTTAGGTCCAGAGTTCTAGAAGGCGCAGAGGGAATTAAACTCCCCAGTGTACATAATGAAGCTCCTGAAAAGCTGTCCCTATAATTAGCTGTGTACACAGCGAACACAGCCACCGGGGAACATTGCTTTTGCTCCCAGGCTTGTTTGCAGAACCAGAGCTTCATTCATGTCCTGTTTTGTTTCCCTCCAGCACTGAGGAAGAGTCACGTCGCTGTGCCCAATTCCTGCAGCTGTTGTGTCCGCACAGGGCCAAGGCACAAACCTCAGACACCCATGCAGCAGGCCAGTTCCCCCCACACTGTTTTGTCTGGACCACAGAGGTGTGTGACACTGGAAACGTCTACGACGCCAAGGCTCCTCGCAGGTCTTCCCACTTTACCTTACTGCAGAGAAAGCAGTACAACCCTTCCTAGGGAGGAATGAGCTATAGCCATAAAAAGCAGCAATTTTCCCACTGAGGGAAAGCAAGCGGGGCTCTTGCTAGGAGATACAGCCCTGCATGTTCCAGGACTGGTATAAAACCAGGAGTTCAAAACCATTACACACTGCTGACATGGGGATGTTGGAAGGCAGGTGTGAGTTTGCTCTGCCGGGGCTCTGGGCCAAGTGTGAGGCAAGCCATCTCTGATCCTCAAAGCTGTAGTGTGTGACAGAGTCTGGGATGAGACCCCGTGGCTCCCCAGTGTTTCAGAGGGGCTGAGCCCTGTGCTCACACCTTCACACAGCCATAGGGTCAGAGACAACTGATCCTCCCACCACCATGCCCCTCGCACAGGGCACACACAGGCCTGGCAAGCCTCGTGCATTGCACAGGGAACTCCAACACCAAAGACAAGGCTTCATTCCCGCTCTTCCAGTCCAGCACTGCAACCTCTGCCCACGCCCAGGGGCTGAGCCAGCAGCCAAAAGCAGTGAGACACTCTGATACCTTAGACCCTTCCTCCCTCATTGGGGCTCAGCCTCCTGCTCCCAGCATCTTTCCTGTACTTCTACAGCCCTTCTTCAATGCACAAAAGCCACAAGAGCATCCAGAAGGATTCAGGCATATATACTGCCACTAGACACACACTCATCCAAGAGGTCATCTGGTGCAGACAGTTCTCTTCCCTGGCCCTACCAATGGTGAGGGCATGCGTTGCTCTGCCCACCACCACCATCTCCTGGGTGAGCTCACCAAGCAGGAGAGACACTGCCGCACAGCCACGTGATGCTAGCAGGCAAGGTCCCCCATGCCAAGGAGTGCCACCAAGAAGCAGTCTTCACTTGCAGTTCCAGGGCTAGCATGTTCCCTCACCAAACACAGTGGCAGGTATGTGACCCACCCTGAACAGTCTCATGCTTCAGAGAAAAAGACACTTAAGAGATCTGCAGTGGTGGCTCACTCCAGCTGTTATGTGAACACTACACCCATGGGCCAAACCTTATGGCCTTGTAGGCTCCAGCTGATGACTGTAATATCTCCACTTCTGGGACTACATGCTAGTGGCAGAAGGTCACTGTGAAACGGCAGCTCAGAAGACAGGACACCCGAGTACAACAGTTTTACGGGCTAAGGGCAGGTGCCTCCACTTTTACCAGCCTCAAGAAAGAAACATGCAGCACGTAATGCCTCAAACCCACCGCTCCCTTGACATCTTCAGTGTTATTATCTAGCTGCATCCAGAAGCAATACTACAGGTTCTCATAAGGCCACATACAAACCAGAAGTTAGGGAGCACTCAGCTGTGACAAGGGGAGAACTGAACAGACAGAGGTTTGCCTCTCTCTCCTCTCCCTCTTTTCCTGCTCTTTTCTGAACTGCCTCATTTAGGAAACAATTCTTGGCTATTGCATTGACCATGAAGCTTCTGAGACCCTCTATTGCCTACCACCCTGCCTCTTAGGGGAGAGCTCCCTGTGCACAGAGACAGTTTCCCAGCCTTGCCAACACAAGGCACAATCCTGAATACTGTTTTGGTCATACCACTCTTCCTTGGAAATGTGCAGCAATTTCAATCCTCCATACTGACTGTTACAGCATTGGGCTTGCTTTAGGTAAGCAGAGGAGAAGGGAGGGTAGAGCACTAAAGGAAGTAAGTCCAGCTGCATGGCAGACAGAGCCTTAGGGAGATGAAAGACATCGGCTTGATCCACATGGAAAAGGCAAGAGCTAATGCAGGGCTGGTACCTGCCTCTCTATTGTACTGAGAGCCCCCCCGCCGTGGCCCTCATCATGGTGGCTGGCAGTTACTTTGCATCCCTTCCAGCTCCTGACGTCTCCCTCTGTGGTGGGGATCTGCGTTTGCCTCATTCACAAGAACAACTTCTTTTTATTTCCAGTTCTTCACCTTGGGCTTATCTCTGAGAAAGGGCTGAAGTCTCTCAGCTCTACGCCTTATAGACTCCCTCTCCCAAGCCAAGTCTCTTAAGCCCTGAGAGACAATGAAGTCACTGTTTGACAGGAGCATCCATACTTCATGCCAAAGGATGCTGAGCCAAGTATGAGGCAAGCCTACTGCATGCATGTAGTACAGCAGAACGGGGATGGCTCATACACCTCGCCTGCAAAGTCTCCATCCCCCATACGCCAGCACTGGGACCTCTGAGGGATGTCTGAGGTCAATACACAGGCATTAGCCTTTTCCTCTAATGCAATGTGGAGATATCCCCTATCCCGCAATGCAACTTTCTACTGCCCTTCTGCCACAGCTCCCATTCCTCTTAGCCTCAATCTGCATCTTAGGCTCATTTGTTTTTGCTGCACCAGCTCAGACCTACTGTACCCAGTGCTATTGTGACCCCAAACCTTCATAGAAATCTCTCATCCTGGTGGAAATATCTCTTGATGATGGGTCCAGTTCCAAGGGGAATGATCCTTAGCAGCCAATCTGACTGGTTAGGCATTGCAAGCCTGGTTAAATTCAGAGAAAGGAGATTTTTGAGCTTGCTTACTCAGAAATACACATGCTTTGTCCTTAAGCGAAAGACACGAGGAGTGGGAAATCACATATTTGCATAAAAATTTAGGCTATTCACTTTCTGCTTTATTTAGTAAAATAAATGGAAAAGTTCATGTGACGTCAAGCAACCAATCTGTTCATAGTGTCAGGAGAGCCTGACAGTGGATCCCAGCATGGCACCAAAAGCAAAGAGAATGAACGAAACAGATCTCTGGGAACTACAAGCTTTACCTCTGATATTGCCATTTTGCTATATCACCCTTTGCTCCAACAGAGGAGACATGGAAGGACACAGTGTAGGGCAATACCAGAGCTCCTAGAGTAGTGAGAAAAGACAGCTGGAGCCAGCAAATGAGAAGGGAGAAGAGATTCCTAGGGAGGACAGACAGCATATACATACAAAGCATGGAGATGGGAATCCGTGACTGACTTGGCCCCTTAATCTTACTATCCCAGGAATTCCTGAGCTGCGGGGCTCAGTGAACTCTTCATACACCAGAAACAGATGACCCTGGGCAGAGTCATCCTGTCGTCTGACAAAGAATCAGAGCTCCTCATTGAGGGTCTTCTCTTCAGGTTCATCTTCTTTCTAAAACACATTAGAGGCATGAAATCAGTTTTGATGTTGCTCGGTTTCTTAGCATAGTGATAAAAGGAAACAAACCAACTTAAATGCCTCCCTCTGCTGTCTGCGCCACTGCTCTGCCAATCCCATTTCAACTGCACAACACAGGCTCCTGACACACAAAGCCTCTGTGCTATAGGAAGATGAGCTTTGACAAAGAGAGTACTCTTAACACTGAATGAACAGGGAGGTTAAATTGTCCCTCTCCCAGCAGAGACCTCTGGTAGAGTCCTCACTGTATACTAGTCTATATACTCTGTTCTGTGGCCTTCTTGATAGATTTCCTGCCTATCCATGCCACTGTCTCTCTGATCCTCTCCTATGGGCTGCCAGCCACCACCCCCATTCTCAGTGTCCAAAAGCACCCTTCACTCTGTTTTTCCAGCTGCTGTTCCCAGAACATAGATGCTTTGCTGAGACCTTCATACAGTTGCAGAGGTCAGTGAAGTCTTCTTGCTGCAGACTAGAAAGTAGAGGTCAATGAAGAAACAGGCTCTGCAAAGACATCCATCTCTGCTCTGCTCTAGATCTAATGCTTTTCTGATATTCAGGCACAAATGAAAATGAAAGAGGAGGTGGCAGGAGTGGGGGGGAGTTCAAGGAACTGAAGTCATTTTCTTCAAGAACCTTGTGAGCAACAGCATCAACCTACAAGATCCTAGCTTCCTGTAGACTGTACAGGAGACTCCCTTTACCTTCTGCATTCTTTGTAAGAAACGATTACAGAAGTCCTGTACACGCTCAACAGAGACTTCATCCAGAGTCAACACATCCTGCTTCTCATCTGGTGTGTTGAATATAGCCAGAGCTGGCAGCTGGGACTTCTTCAGTTTGAAGAATGACACTGTTTGTTCATTACTCTTCAAATTGCTGTCTACCAGGATAAAAAGAATCTGTGATGGAAATAGGAAAGGAAACGTGAGCAAAACAGAGACTGAGAGAAAGAACAGATCCCCAGACAGTGATCACAGGAAGACTAACAGTGATATTTTTATAAAGAGGTAAACTCTCTTAGGACAATTTCCTCTGCCACTAACTCCTCATGCAGTGCATTTTTCTGTATTTTATCAAGTCCAGACTTAAAGTACAAAACAAAATGTTTGCTTTCACCTTCTTTAACAATATATCTCCAGTATGGCAGGAAGGCAGTCTCCATTTCTATTCTCTTAATAGATGAGGAAAAAAGATGTCTTTTATCTTAGTGGCACATGTAAAAGAAGCTGACTCCTCTACTTGCATGTTATTTGGATAAGATGCTTACATCCATGCAAGACCCAGAGTGGCAGAGTAAAAAGGTGTTTTGCTGTGTGGAGAATCAAACTCAATTGCAAGAATGTGGGAGTGAAGTATAGGGCAGTGGGAGCCTGCAAGGATAAGAACATGCGAATACCAAACACAAAGGACGTATTTAAGTGAGCTGCAGTGAATAGAAATGAAGATGCAATCATTTCAGAAATAGGAGTCTTTGGCAAGACACTAATGTCCATACAGCCCAGCTCAGCGGAGGGTTGCTCAGACCTGGGGAGAGAAGCCCAACAATGAATAAGCCGGGATGAGAATGACCTACAATTTTCCTGGCTCCCAAATAGTCTTAAAGAGCAAGATCAAGATATGGATTAGGATTCTGCTGGGATGATTCAATAGTATGGATTTATCAGAATTGGTGACCAACTCCATGATTTTATTTTAAGAGTAAAGTTCAACTGAGATCTTACAGGTGCAGTAGGAATTGGTACAAATTTAAAATTTTGGAATCTGAAAGATTATCAATAAAATATACAGCTATCTCAAAAATCTTTGTTAAATTATCTGTTAATACTAAACAAAAACATTACATATAAATTTTATAAAAGAAAGTAAATACAGCAACTGAACAATTTAATCAGTGACTGATTAAAGGCAATCCCTTGGCAGGTGACATCCAAGACAATGAAACAAACATCCAGCTAACATGCATCATTTTGTCTTCTCTTTATCCTGTGCAGTCTACTGGGCCTAGCATATTCAAGGTACCTATAGACATGGATATGACTTAACTTACACAAGGAAAAAAGAGAATTTAAAAAAAAATATATAATGCAATGTGAAGATGATGTGCCCAGTTCCCAGGCTGTGACTCATGTTTTTCTTTCTTTTCAATCAGGAACACTCAACTTTTTTCTTCTCTAAAAATAAACTTCGTAAATCTCAAATTCTTTACTTTATTAAATTTATGTTCTATAAAAAAAACAGATACATCTGGAAATTTTCCTAGGCAACAGCCTATGGGAAGGAGGGATAGTTAGGTTGGTGTAAGGTTTAACTGCAGTTAATCACTGCAATACAGAAGCAGGAATGACACTTTCAACGGATATGTGATATTTACCACTTGCAATCTCTTCCAAAAGTCAACTGTGCCCCAAGGGCAACAAGCTAGTGAGCACACAGGTTGTGGGGAACTTCTCCCAGAGTGCTAAATTCAACCTTTCGCAGGATAAAACACGAAGCTAGGGAAGGGTTACAAATCTAAGGGTCAGAGGTCTAAGGACCTGATCTAACAGGCTTTCAGCTGGAGCAGCAATACTTATGTTTTAGGGCTCTCCTTCCAACTGGCAAGCTGGAAACAGAGGCTGGTGTTGGAGGGAAGCACTTTCAGAGGGTTGGTACAGGAAATGGTATCACATTTTCACCAGTTCATTCACCAGCTTTTGTTTTTCTCTGTGAAAAATCCACTACACAACAACAATTTTTTAATCAAATGTTAAACAAGAAGTTAATAAAAAAAAAACATTTAGAATATCTAGGTTGTTAAATGCTGTCATTTTCTATACAAAATCTCCTCCACCTTTAAAACAGATGAATAGCATTTTAAAATGGTAATATAAATAAATGTTAGCCAAGATTCTTCACTTTATCAAGCTTCCAGCCTTTGTTAAAAATCCCAAAACTAAAAAGCTGTACATAAGAATAGAAAGGTTGGGGTTTAGAACTCCAAACACCTTTTTCCTTACTGAAGAAAGCAAAAACACACAAACAACTGGCCCCTCAGCTAGAAAGGCTGAGATATCATTATTCACAGTTCCTGACTTGGATCTCTCTAATGACTCACATTTGGCTCACAGTTATAGGGTGCCAAAGCACAGCAAAAGTTTCCTTCCCCTCTTATATTCCAAAAAATACAGGAGAGACAGCAATTGTGTTTGTCCACTATTGCTCGAAAGAAGACACCTTAATGCCTATCATATGCGTTTTAGAATGACACATCCCTGGTAGGTGCTGTGATGTGGGATGAATCCTCCTTCAGCAAAAGGACAGGCCACGGACCCTACACTGGATGTGCTCCAGGAGTCCTGCCAAGGCCCATGTGGCCTCAAAGTCACACCTGCAAGGCAGTCTGTAAGGTCTGTTGGTACCGAGGCCACAAGCACTGGAAGCCTGCTCCCCTCAGCAGCTGGAAACCCAAGCAGGTTTCTCAATGGGGACACTTCCACGAAAGATGCTGCCTGGTGGAAATGGCATTCCTCCAAAATGAGGAATTTATTTTGTTCAAAGATTCCCAGCCAGCCCTAATCATAAAGAATGAAAGCAGTGACCATGGTAAATTATACTGACCATGAGACAAGATTCACCTTGCTTAACTTCTGCCATCTAGATCTTAGTCTTGTCTCGGCCAGCCATCTAGGTAACCTCTACAATAAACAGTGACAGGAACTTTATCCCACCTATTTTAGAAGGGAAGGAAGGACGTGCCTGTCCTCCACCAGTGCTGAAAAGAGCCCAAAGCCTTTGCTCAGATAACTTACCAAAGCTATAATTCACCAAAACAAATCCCAGTTATGATGCCAACTCTCACATCACTGCTAGAAACCAGGTAGTTCCATCCCAAACAGAAAGTTCGTTTTCTATTTCATACTATCCTGTACAATAGCTGTTTTTTTCTTTCTGAAACCACTTCCATGAAATTGTTTCATTTTGTAGCCATCTTCTTGCCTGTGTTCAGAGGTCTGCTGCTACAGGCAGTGAAGGATCTCCTGCATGGATGAGGAACTCCTGACACAAATTCTCTCCTCCACACATGGTATTATCTGTGCACTGCCACCTGCAATAAGGTCTCTTTCAGAAAACTTTGTACACTGGTGCTGTCTTGGTGTCTTGACAACTTGATTCCTAGCCCAGTGCTTTTAGAACATTGAGTTCCTGGTAAATACTAAGATATGGAATGATGTTACTGCCCAAGGAATTAAAGTTAACTGAAAATAGTACTGCAACAGTAGAAAACAATTTGATGTTGCTTAGTTTTTCCTCTAACAAAGACAAACAGGAAGGATGATCAAACCTTATATCCAGTGTTTGACTTTGAACTTCACGGAGCTGCAACTTTCATTCTTGGAGGAGATTTTAGAAGCAAAAAGATCAAATTCTGAAGTTTGAGTAATTTCATACATAGCTTACATAGTACATCAAAGCAAAATGAAAACATCAATCATGAATTAAAAAAAAAGCAAGCTATAAAAACAATGTTACTGCAGATATCTGTTAAGTGACATAGACAATCCATATTTACAGGTTCCCCTATTTATGGCTAAAAGAGGCATCTCTAAAGATTATCTCTCAGTTCTGGAGCCATCAATGCCTGACAAGAAAAATAAAAAGTCTATGAATGACTCTCTGCAAGAGAAAGGGCACTGTCCTTTTGTTTCCATGGAAGAATACCTGAAGGACTCTCAGGAGTTTCTGAGAACCCAATTCTAAATGGGCATACATATAAAGTAAAAGGGACTTTGCAAACATCTCTACCCAGATAATTCTGACATTGTAAACCAGTTATATCAGTTGCAGCAAAAGCTGCTTTTGTTATTCCCAACATCACCTTATTGAAACTTTTGCAAACACCCATGTGGTACACCAGCTGTAATTATCATGTTATATTCTGACACCATGGAAAGAAAACTGAAGATGCTTATGCTAGTTTGGCTCAGCAATGCAAATCCTGACATTTCATTTCCAGTAGAAAGCCTGGACTCTTGGCAGTACTTTCTCAAATAAGCACATATTTGATTGCAGTGGGATCCTTCCAAGAAGGCTGGTGGATTCGGTCCTGCAGCTGCAGTGCTCTGAGCTCTGCCTGTTCACTGTCACCCACCCACAATTGTTTCTCAAAGTCTGCTACAAAAGTACCATATTTCTTCTTATTCTTGTCAGCTCTTGCTGGCTTAGTATCATCTAACATTTGCACTTTCCTTTCCAGCATTTTATAGCCCCCAGGTTCCACGATAAAGTCTAGAGGAATCTAGACTGCCTTCAGACACTCACTGCTGCTCAGGGTGCAGTTCCGGCTGTTTTCGAATAACAGTCCTCACCATACAGCCTCAGCGATCCTCCAGCCGAAAATCTCAGCTTCCTCTAAGGCAAAAATGTAAAGATCATAAACCAGAGATGAAGGGACCATAACCCAGGAACTGGCAGGTGAATCACTTCCTCATGATCCATTAATGGTTGAACTCAATGATCTTAAGGGTCTCTTCCAACCTCAGTGATTCTATGATTCTACGATTGTCTTCATTCTTTGGGGTCAGCCACTCAGCAGCAGCAGTTCCTCTTCATCACTCCATCAATCCAAGCAACAAGTTTCTCTTCTCCCTTCAGCTGGCGACGACAATGACAAGGACTCCTCTTCCCTCAGAGTGCAGCAGAGATGGGTGAAAGGATCGGTACCCCTTCTCCTGCTTGGGAACCCTCTCGAGGCTCTGTCTGTCTTCTGCACTGGCTTGTAGAGAAGTTGCAACACATGCCGCGTCTCCCCACTCTGTTCTGGCACTCTGCAATCACTGTACAGTGCTGCTGGATGCCGTGGTACATGTTCACAGGGAGCCTGAACACCTCTCCGCTGCACAGCAATGATTTCTTGCTCAAACCAGTGACAGCACTAATCCCACAGCACAAACAAGCCTTTCACCACCAGCCACAGGCTATGAATTATTTGCTGGTAATCCTGAATAAAATTCAAGTCAAGAATCTTGCATTTATTCACAGACAATCTGCAAGCCGCGAAAAGGCAAAATCTACTCAATACTTTACTTGTTTTGAAGTAAACCTGAGTTAACTTGGTAGTCCTGACAACAGGTAATTCTACTTAGGGAAATTAGCCAGCAGAGATTTCCATGGTATTGTGCAGTGGCTGCTTCTGATACTGAAACTAATTCATGTCTTTCTACATGACAGAGCAATGGAGACAAACCTAAGTGGGCATACTGCTCTGCTTACTCCTTAGTATCCAGATCTAAGACCCAAACAGCGGGATCCTAGCTCTCTCTTATTTCTTTGCAAGAGGGCAATTCAAACCACAATTTACTCCTCCAAGTGCCACTCCTTTGGGAAAAACAACTTATTAGACTCTAAGTCCCTTCATCTACATGTCCTGCAGTACCACTCCAGTCAGGTGGAAATAATTAGTCAAATCCCCACATCTTTAATCTCTGTATTTTATTCTGGCAAACTTCTTCTAGACTGATTGGGTGAGAAACTTGCCTGTATGAATTAAAAAAAAAAATTAGATTTGGCTTGCTGGCAATTCATAAATTATCTGGACTTCAGTACAACATTTTACCCAATGTTTTGTGAAGTATTCCTAGGAAAATCATTCACATTTGCTCAGATCTGGGCATATCACATGAAGAGAAAACCGCCTGCAGTCACATCAGCAAAGGATAGTGACGCTAAACAGCAATGCACTGTGTTAGAAGAATTAGCTGCCTGGGGAGAGACTGGTATCAGACTCTGCTGCTTATGGACAACAGGGATAATGGTGTCGTTATAGCACACACCTCACATGAGACGGTGGGAATTTTTCAGGTAAATGAGTTCTCTTTTATCACTATGTATTCATCAAAGCAAAACACTTTTGGAGAGACCTTTTGACCTGATGGCAGGTTTCTGCCTGGTCTCTTGCCGATGGGTGGGACAGATGGCAAGGTCCAAAGTAGTCCTGCCATTAACAAACATCAGGACTTCTGAGGGTACACAGTTCTGAGATGGCCCCTCCATTTGAAGATGAGGATATACTTGATTAATCTAATCTGACCCGTCAGTACCACAAACAGATGCATGCCGATGTTCATGTTCTTAAACCCCAACTCCTTCCAGCTCCACTCTTCTCCCAGGAAGATCTCTTCCACTGCCTCTCAGCTTAGCCTTCTCCGCCGCTGTGATCCTCTGCTCCCTCCCATCTGCTGTTCTCCCTTGCCCCAAATGCCTTCCTGTTGCTCCCAATCCTCCTCTGCTTGCCAGTTCCTTCCTCTGTTCCCTGGACACACATTCCCCTGTAATCCAGCTGCTGGCAGAGAATCAGCCATTAGAAGATTTACTGTCTGGGGAGCTCTGCCCACAGAGGTGTGGGAACCAGGCGGAATTTCTCTGAAAGACCCCATCTATCCCATCACATTAGTGTGGGAAATCCGACAAACCCATTTGCAACTCCTTTAAAATCGCTGTTTCCCCAGGATCCAACCAGAAGGCTAAGGGTTAAGAAGCACTGCGACATTAATTGCTTTCTAGTCACTTATATAATGCTCCTTGGCATCTTGCAGGCTGTACACACAACATCACCTCTCACACCAGTGGAATGCAACCATCACCAGACTGAAGTGCAGCAGCTGTTTGTCTTCTCCCAGTGCAAGGGAACAAAACTGGACCAGAGGCAAGGAAGTACATAATGTCCCACTGAGGGAGTACAGGAGTAGGATACAGAGGATATTTTCACCACAAAGAGGCAAAATGGCAAAAGGTGAACAGATCCAACCCCTCCACTTAATTACCCAGCTAATCCTCTTTTCCTGCCACTTGGCCTTTGCTCCCCTAATGCACAGAGAAGGAGATTATGCCCTCCCCATCCACGGAAGCAATCACTGTTCTCCCTTTTTTCTCCCTAACGGCTCCCTTTCCTCTCTGTTTGGACTTACCTTACCCTTGAAGAGCTCCGCTGCCGCCCGATATCTACGCATTCGCTCGGGGTGCCTTGGGGACATCTTGTCTGTGATCAGGAGGAGGTGAAGCTGGAGTGAACTCTGCATCACACCTATTGCTGTCTGCAAAACACACACAGACAAGGAGATTGAGAACATTCAATCTGCATTGGATGCACTGCCAGAGGGAATCAATCCTCATGTCTCAGCTAAGATTTCTTTGCAAATCAGCCTCGCAAGCAGGACAGCTTTCTTTAAAGGAGGAGGGATCCAATCTGGGTTCTTTGTGGAAGCGCTTAACCTCCTGGCTTTGCTTATTCCCGAGATGAGGGTCTGAAGACCACGAGGGTTCATCCCTGGCCTCAGGATAGTCAGTGACTATGCAGGGGGACTGCCTGGATACAGCAAGCTGAAGTCTAGAGAGGCAAGGAAATGGAGAGGAAAGTCCAGCAAACACTGAACATCAGGGTGCCCTGAATCACTGAGGTCCAGCACTTGGCTGAAATGGGAGCAAGAAAGTGGGAAGGATTTGTGGTGTCAGGGTTGGTGTCTCCCCTTATTTCCTTTCTTTAGGGTTAAGCTGTGCACAAGATGGGGATGAGTCTAGTGTTTCAGCAACCCCCTGGCCAGGGCATTCCAGAGTGCTGAGGGTTAAAATTGCAGTCCCACACTGGGAGAAGACCTGGAGCCGGCTGTCCCTCATCCCCTGGGCAAGGGCCAAGCAGGCAGCACACACTGGCCCTCTGTGAGGAGACAGGTCTGGCGCTGCCCAAGAAGCCGCTGCACCATCTCCAGGCACTCACTCACTCACTCACTCGTCATCTCGGTTCTCCTTCCAGCCGCTTCCTGCAGCCTCTCCCTCAAACTAAACAGCAGCTGGGCCAGACCTGCTGCCTCCCCTCTACCACCAAAACCACGGAGACACAGACTGTGCAGCTCCCTGCCAGCCAGAGAAGAAAGTTTCCACACGCTCCAGGAGTAATAAGGAAGGGGTCGGGGAGTGCACGCCAGCAAGGGCCATGCACTGCAAAGCATCTAGTTTTTGGCAGCGGGGACTCTGCCATTAGCCTAATGTTTATCAGACATTTTGCATCCCTTCGCTTCTCTGGTGGTGTGCGGATGGGGCAGGGGAGAGTAGAGGGGATGCAAACCAAGGCTGGAGAGCATTAGAAGACCTCATGTGAGAGGACGGGGCTGAAGGTGAGGGTGAAGCCAGCCAGCACCAAGGGCCATGACAAGGCTGGGCTGAGAGCAGGCAGGGCTGGAGCAGCAGTTCCTCCAGCAGCTCCACACAAAGGCGTGCATGTCCACGCAACCTTGTGCAAGAGAGATCAGCAGAGCTCATCAGCATGGCTGGGTCACATCTGACTTTCCTGGAAAGCCCACAAGGTAATCATTGCCTAAAAATGCCTAAAGTATGTGGGAGAAACAGTAAGGGCCCCAGGATGGGGAGAGAAACTCTTGGCAGCACTCGGTGTGATCTGCATGACCCCAGCCTCTGCTGACCAGCAGCATAGATGTAAACAGCATATGCACTGGGAATAAATATTTATGAAAAACCAAGCTACATTAGTGGAGCTGGGAGGGCTTTGGGCCGGAGACTGCAGGAGGCACTGTTAACTGCAGCACCTTGATAGGACTCCAGTGTCTGGAAAAAAACTGGAACAACATGTGTACTGCCAGTCAGGGTGGAGGGGACCTGCTGAACAGCTCAGGACTTCTTGGTCAGGGAGACAGCCTGGGTGCCGAACAGGAGCGAGAGCCCAAAGCGTCAGCAGAAACACATGAAGAAACAGCCATGATTGCATGAAGAACAAGCCATGACCTAATCAATTGCCAAAAGATGCAGTGGAGCCTCCAAGAGTTCAGAAGGCCTGGATGATTATAAAGATAAGAAGAAGATCCCCGGTGATGTGACTTTGGTGATCTCAAAGGGCTGTGAGGACAGTGGGCAAGGATATAGCTTTTCTGTCCCCAGAAATATTCTGTGATTTTGAAATGCATTTTTCACATCCCTTATCAGGCTGAAAAACAAATCCACCTTTTTTTTCCCTTTTTTTTTTAACCAAAAAACCAGAACTTATACTGTATGTCATTCTGGAAACAAAATGTTACATTTCCAAAACAAAATGCTCTCTCTACTGGTGGCCTGCATCTGAACTGGGAAATGTGTCAGCCCTCTTAGCTGATACTTGGCATCAGCTTGAAAACGTATAGCTTTGAAACAGGTTGGGCCATTCTCCTTTGATTAAATCGAGCCTGGTCAGCACTGTTGTAGCTACCCAGAAGTCCACAAAAGACCCCACCGGCAATGACAAAGTCTCAGCCTTGCGGCCGTCGGGGCTTCTAAGACCTACTGACTCCACAGCAATAAGCCCAGTGAACTGCTGAGATTTCAGAGCAGCCTAAATCCTTGGTCACTCTCTATAGCAGGGAGGAACACTGGGACCCTGCCACTGCCAGTCAGAGGGGTGAGCTAATGAAGGTGGCCAACATAGAAGCATCCTATGTCTGGGGTTTTTTTTGTTGAACTGATGAATTCTGGAGTAACGGATAGATGGGATGGGAAAAAATTTGCTTGGGAGGTTTCCAGCCGGCTCTTGAATATGCTTTCAAATAGCCAGGCTTATGTCAAGCCCTATGTGCTGGGTGATGAAGAAAAGCCGGCCTTCTGGGAGTAGGTCACTCGAGTTTCCATGTTTCTCAAGGCTTCTCAGCCAAAGAGAGGGGATCCTAGCTGAGCAGGGTCTGCAGGCATGGCATAACATGGCAAATGCCCATGGGAGGAGGCAGCACAGCCAGCAGGAGTGGTAAGAAATGGAGCTCTCTGCCCACCAACACCCCAAATTTACTGGAAAGCTAAAGGAATCGCCATGCCCCCCTTACTCCCCCCACCCCACTTGCACGCGCCAGCACAGCATCTGCTTCCAGTCCCCGTATGGATTAGGAGCGAAGACCTGCGTGGCTTCCCCAACCCCATCCACCCTGTTGCTGCAACCCCTGCACACATCTGGGTATGCCAACTCTTGGGCCAGAGGATGCTCATGAGGAGGCCAGGTGCCAGGGTGAGGGCTGTGGGGAGCTGATAATTACCACAGGGTTGTACTCTGTCACCAGGCGGAGCTCGTTCATCCGAATGAAACGAGTCATCTTCTCGGCATCAACATCTTCGCTGTTCATATCCAGATCCCTCCGGTCATTGTCTACCTGAAGACAAGCAAAGAAACCTACAGTCACAGCTGTCCTCTCCTCTCAGCACCCGTTCCAGGGGCGCTGATGCCACTCCCTCACAGAGACACCCATCCCCTGGGACACCACCATCCTCTCTCCCCCCACCACGTAATCCCCACTTCTGGAGGTCCAGAACCTACAGAGACCAGCCTGCACTTTGCAACAACCATCTTGCACCCTCCTTCAGTCTCCCAGTGACACAGCACACTCATGGCATAACAGAAATCACTGAGGACTCCAGACATCCCTACGGTATCAGCTCCTGATGCACTGGAGAAAGGGAGGATTAGCTGATAATTCTAGGCCTTGTGGGGAGAGATCATTAAATAGCCTAACTCCTCACATCGATTTTGGCTTTACATCCCCTTTTAAAATCTTCATCTGCTTATTCTTTTACTTCTACAAGTAATAAACTTTGGCATGGGCTCATATGGATTTCCTGGAAACATTGTGCAAGTAGGAAATCTCTCCAATAAAAAGAGGATTATTTTTTTTCCAGTACAGCAGGAAAAAAAAAAAAATATTGAGAACAGCACATTTTAGCTTTAGAGGAAAATTCATCCTGCTACACATCTCCCCACACTTCACTGCCCCATGCAAACAATGTGATTTTATTGAGGTTTTCATGACCTGGTAAACAGAAAAAAAAGCAGGCAATCACTGAACGACAGCTAAACCACCTGAAGAGTTGCTGTGCAGTAGCACCGCAGGACATGACTGAGTTAAGCCATGGGGACGCTGGGCTCTGACATGCAATAGGATCAAAGTTTGGGATTTGAAGGCCTTTGATACCCATGTTGAATGAGGTTCTTGGGGCTGAGGAAAGGTCCACATGCACGCCCCAGATTTTATTCTCTGCATCTGTACAACCTCTGAAAGTGCTTGTGTTAGTTTTTTCCAGTGGTGTGCAGACATCTAAAGCCCTTTTTGCTGTTCTGTGGTCATTGGCAAGGTCTTTGATCTGGTAGTGGGGCACAGTGCCCTGTCTGGCAACCCAAACTGGTGCTTTTCAGACTGTGTGGCCCAATTCCTCTCACAGATTTGCTCCTGCATAAAATGAAAGGGCAGCTCTACTCAAGTAAATGAGATCAGGCCAGTGCAACACCGGAGATCAGACAGACCTTGGGAACCAATCTAAAGCACCCTGGACTCCAAGATAGTCTTCTCTTGGCTTTCATGGGCTTCTGGAAACACCTGATTTCCATTTTGGGATAATAACATCTTGAATCTGCGTTCAACATTTATGATTTTAAGAAAATAAGGCTGGAAAACAGCCTGCATCTAACAGTTGAAGCTCTAGTCAAAATGTCTTTATCACTTCATATAATTAGCTTGTTAGCATCTGTTAATTATGTTCTTTTTAGGTCTATCAGGCCAGATTCCTCACTAGAATAAATCAGTTTTCCTCCACTATATGCAAAGAAGTCACCAGCTGACAGCAGCCCCTCCTACTACTGTAATTATGGTTTAAACTTCTAAGCATTGAAAGTGTTTCATACTCTGCAAAAGCAAAGAAAAAATGAGTTTATGCCTCTGATTCACTGCTATCCTGGTCACGCATCTTCATATTCTTCAAATGAGTATTTGATTCCAAGTTCTTGTCTCTTTTATTTTTTCTTTCCTTTTTATCTCTGACCCCTTACACCTACACAGTATTCAGCACAGAATAAAAGGAAAAATAATGTGTCTGAATAACTTAAGAAACACTGACAATTAGATGAGCAGATTGTCAACCACATTTGAACCTGACTAGCATATTACTTTCTTGGTTGTTTTTTTTTCCTATTAAACAAGAGTTCAGCTGCAAAAACTGGACTGTGAACAAAGAATATTCAATATAATCCAAATTCCAACAATCCAGACACTTTCTTTTATCAAATATCCTCCCAATGCAGTCATCCTCGCTATCTGCAACAGCTCAAAAACAAAGGAAAATTTCAGTATTTTTGGAAGAAAACCACCATGACTAAGAACCTAAACTGAGATGGGTGTTGCTTCAAATTGCAACATGTGCCCATAGCAAATAAAAGGTTAAATAAAAGGACCTGCCTACCTATTGCTCACTCTTAGATCATTCTCTTTGAATTATTTGGATTATGCCAGTGGTAAACACCGTGCAGGAAACGATGAGAAAGAAAGGGGAACAAACTGGCTTTGTCCAATCTTTGTACAACCTGGGTCTAGACCTTGGGCAAGCTGCCAGATTTAGTTTCCCTAGTACACGTAGTGTGTCCCTGTGTCTGTGTGTCCTGTCCACCCCCACCCCCCCCATGTGCTTAGAGCTGTGGTGACACAACACTTCGTGGGCTTTTAGGACACCTTGTGCTACCTAGGGGCCCTCTCCTCCTCAGATATACCTCACTCTCCAGTTTTCAAGTGCCACACTTGTGTGAGAAGGTGCAACACAAGTAAACGGATATAACTAGTAGAATACTTGCTCTTAGCTTTTGTTGGTACTCTTGAAGCGAGTACATGGCCCTTCACAGTATTGTCTCCTTAAATTTCAGCAAAAATAGCTTAAAATTCAGTGAGGCACCAGCACTTACAGCTGGAGTCAACAAAGATTTGACTTTGCACAGCATCGATCCCTAAGAAACTGCCAAGTAACATTCTTAATCGGCCCATGCCCAAAGCGTATTTAGGGGATAGCTCTGCAAACCACAGTGTAGGAGACAGAAGAGAGCGTTTAGGATTTAATTTGGTGGCAAAGCACCTGTAACTGCAGAGACCCAGTCTGGATCTGCTTTTGGTCACGATGGAAAAGTTGTGCACCCAAGGAGATGGCCTTGCCTGCCTGAAGTGACACCTGGCAGGATTTGATATCTAGCCTGCTGCGTTGATCCGTTGTAACACAGCCTCTAGGTGCTTTCTGTGCGTCTCAGGAGCCTTTCCAAAACCACAGAAACCCCATCCAAGTAACACTGAGCTCCAGGCAGGTCACTCAGAGACACAGACACTATTCTGTGCAAAGCTCTGGGTGCTGGACCAGATCCATAGGGCAAACACTTAAAATGGAGAATCTCGTCAGGTGTAATAAACGTTGCACGTCTCGGTGATGGGCAAGTGAAAAGCCAAAGACCTCTTTGGGGCAGGAAGCTCTACAAACCTGCTTTTAGGTGGGCAGGTGGAGCGACTCTCAACAACCAGCCTGTTTGTTCTGGTTCTTTTGGCTCGCTCTAAGGTGAAGCGCCCAGCTTTAACCTTCCTCTTCATCACCACCCCCGCAGATGTCACTTCTCCCGCCCGGTGACCGCGGGCAGTTTTCAGGCCCTGGCCCTAGAGCCTCTCCCACCCAGACCAGCGGGCAGGCCAACTCCTGAACCCACAGCCTTTCCTCTGGCAGATCCACCTCCCTGCGCGGCAGCCGGTCTCCCCGTGAGGGAGCTGCTCCTCCGGCCACGGTAGCCCCCCCCGCCCCGCCGGGCCCACGCACCCTACGGAAGAGCGTGAGGGTGTTCGCCGCCACGCCGTAGCGGGACAGGACGGCGGGGCTGGTGCTGAGGCCGAAGGGAACCTCCGCGATGCGGCCGGCCGCCCGCTCAAACTGGGACGCTGCGGGGCTCCGCGG